TTTTTTTTGGTTTTTCTCCGGTACCGGGAACCGAACTCACGACGTTGCGCTTGCCAGGCAGGCGCTTTTGCCGCTGAGCTAAATCCCCAGCCCCTTTCTGTGTTCTTTATGTGCATATTCTTTTCTAGTTTGTTATACCTGTTGCTTCTATTTTGTTCTTTGTTTTCTGATGCATGTTTTAATGCTTCAAATATTTCTGTCTTTTCTGTATTACACAGATTTCAGTGTGTACTACAATCATTGCCTTTTAATTTAAAATATTTTCTGGTAGTGTGATTGATTGACAGAGAGGTTGTGTATTTTCCAAATTTGTGAAATAAGCAAATGAGAGTTGTAGTTAGCTCTCTTATTGCTTTAAATTTTGCTGTGAATTTAGAAAAATGTACCAGAAAGTTTATTATTTGAGACTTGCTTAGATTTCCTTCACCAAATGGACACAGACCATGATTTTAATGAGCTAGCTACCTTAAAATGAGACAGTATAGATGTTCATGAGTTTTACAAAAGTTGAGAAGAAATATTTTATAATGTTAAAAGGAATATCTCAAAGAGACAAAACAACTGTGAATGTATATGTAGCTATAAATATAAAAATGCATGAAGCAATATGGAGAAAAGTAAGAAAGAAGTAGACAAAATCTTACTTAACAATACTGACACCATTCTTTGCTGTGATTTATTGAACAAAAAGAAAAAAGATTTTGAAAAGATACAAATAAATTTTAAAAATGCTATAACTTGTCTGACCTTAATCTTACAACTATAGTGTACACATAATTCTCTGTAAAAATAAAACCATTATCAAGATAGACAATATGCTGTGTAGTGAATGTAAATACATTTCAAAATACTGAAATCTTGCATATTGTTCTCTGACGGCAGGATTAAATTAGAAATCTGAATAAATTATCTAGAAAAAGCACATATTTGGAAATTAAACAAAAAGTTCTAAATAATGAAGGCACCAAGGGACAAATCAAAAAGACATTAGAAATATTTCAATGTGATAAAAATGGAATGCATATATAAATATATGCATTTATTTGTAAAAATCCAATGTAAATATATATGATATATATAGATAGATAGATACCTAACTTTGTGGGACCTGGCTAAAAGAATACTTAAAGAAACAGTGCTTAAAAGTTTTATATTTTAAAAGTATGATCATTTAGATTCACATTTTAATGTTCTTTACCCTAACAATGAGAGTATTGCAAGGCTCCGAGTTTTAGCCCTTGCACCACACACATGCGCAATGGGGAAGAAAAAGGAAAAAAAAAATCAAACTCTAAGAAGGAAGAAAACAATAGTCACTGGAAAGAGAAAACTACAAGAGAAAGTTAGCAAGGCTAACAACAGTTAAACTTAAAGCTGAACACAGAAGAGAAAAACAATTATTAGAATTAGTTATTCAAAGTTATTACCAAAATGGAGAAAAAAAACAACTTTAAAAATGATTATAAAAAGAAAAAAAATGGCATGAAGAATAAAAAAAAATGTATGACATCGCATCCACAAGATGGCACCTAGGAGATTCCACGGACACAGATTCAAAAATCATACACAAACCAATCTGTTTGTAAGAAATTCAGAAAATAATTGAGAGGGCTGTCCCACAAAACAGGCATAAAACCAGATGCATTAAAGCCAGTGAGGAAATTCAGGGCGGCCTCCACTCTTTCCTCAGCGCACAGCCCCACAGCCGAGAAGAAAGGATAGCCACTCGCTTTTCACCGGGTGTGCGGCTTGTGTCTGATATCCTGGGTTTCCTGGGGCAGGCAGCTCAGGCACTGGATTCTGTACCAACTGCTTCCAAGTGTGATGGGATGGGGCGTATTCCAGATTCCTGGAGGCCACTGATAGCAAAAAAGACCTAGTTTGGATATGGATGCTCCAAAGACGTGTACCAAAACAGACGGGGGCCTATATCTCTCGGCAATTTGTCCCTCAGGAGGAAAGAGAAGAATGAACCATGACTCTATCAATCTACCTCTGTGGAAAGCAGCCTGCAGGACTGGTTTCTCTCACCTATCTTGGAGCATTGGCAGGGCCTGGAAAACTCTAGTTTCCTGGTGGCTGCCAAGGGTGACAAAGAACCAGACAGGGTGCTACTGTTCCCAGGGAACCTGGGGTACAGTAGAAAAATGTTTTCTACTATAGAAGATTCTCCTTCAGGGAAACAGAAGCAGAACATGTGTCTAGCACTCCTGGTTTTCAGGCATCTGCTGAATGACTGGTTTTTGATTTTCCCAACTTAGGGCACAGAAGGGAATTGATACAATGTAGATGACTGCGATCACTGAGAACATAGATCTTGTGTACTTTACAACCTTTATGAAGGTCTTTGTTCTTTAAGCCCCAGAGCACCCATGGTACTGTAGACCATAGCCAGAGGGACCAAAGAATATAAACTTCTGAAAAAGAAAACTTCAAATCCTTCTAATTATGAATTTACACATACATGTCCAGAGAAAATATTTCCATAGAAAACATTTCCGAAGCTCCCAAATATCTACCCTGGCTGATTGATGGCCTGCACGTGTAATGAAAGCAGCCTATAAAGACTGGAAAGGGAGAATATTAAAAAAAAGTAGGTATATAAAAACAAATAAGGAATAAAATGAAACAGAAATATGTACAATAAAAGGATCAAAGTAAATCTAATATATATATACATATTTGTAAAATTCACTGAATTTTCAGAATGTAGAAGAAAAGGTATATGTACAGGTATAGAAAATGTATTTAACAATATTTGTTAGCCCTTGACAAAGCAATGTCTTTTTTTAAGAATAAAAAATTTTTCCAGTCTGATAAAGGATATCTCTATAAATCTCAATTCTTGTCCACACATACTGTTTGAACAACTGGCAAGCCATATAGCAAAAAAATTAATCCCAACTTAGTACTGTTCTTGAAACAAATATGAGACTGATGATGTATGCCTAAATGCTAAAAAAAAATAAAGCTTCAAGAAGAAAATGAGGAATACACGTATTTCAATGCATGTAAATTTTATTTCCTTGAAAAAAGACAAAGCAAATTTAAATGGGTGCAATAAATTTGTATTGGTATTGGCATGTAAGTGTTTCCTGTATATTCTACACTTTTAAAAATGGCTAAAAATATTGAGGTGAATGAGGCCAGGTATCTAAAATTAGAGAGAAAAACTCAGATGTAAAAAATGAAAAGACTGGAATGAACTGATTTTTATTCAATTGGAACTGGAGGTATACATATGATATGGAGCCTTCACAGTACATATAAAGAAAAATAGATAAAGACATGATTATAGAAACAAATATATTATTAGACAAATGATACATAAACAGACAAAATGGTCATGTATGTAATCGGCATAGATGTAGTTATAGGTATAGGTACATTTGTGAGCAAATAAAGGAATTAGAAACATTCATACTCCAATAGTAATATGCACTTATAGTTCTTAGATATTAACTCAGAGTTATCAAATGTATTTTTTAATACTATGGGTATGATACAGCCAATGGATATGATACAACAAGAATATAAAAATTGTGTTTGGTTAGTTTCTAAATTACTTACCTGCTTTAAAAATTTTGTATAAATAAACAGCAAAATTTTTCAAACACACAAAGATACTATTTTTGCAAATAAGGAAAAAGTAGTGTAAATTCTAGAAAACAGTGTGAACAAGAGCTTACTTGTACAGGTGGGTTCAGGAGCCCATCTTCCATTTATGCAGATTGCATGCTGAAGTTTTGACTTTCCTCTGCATTTGTAAGTTATGTTAGAGTTATGGTGAAATTCATCCTTGTCTGATTGACTGCCTTGATTTATCATTACCTTGAGCATTTTACAATTCTTCAGTTGATCTATTGCTACAAAATGAAAATATTTTCATGAAAAAAATGACAAGAAATTCTTGAAATTTCATGAAAAGGCCAATTACAAGAAACAAGACTACTACTATGTAAAAAGCTACAAAGTCAGTGTATAAAGGAACTGTGACTTATACCCCTTTATTCCACCAAATATTTATTCCTGATCACAGTGTGCAAGACGAGCTATTGTGTATGAATGTAAGTCTCATGTCCAGTCTTTAAATATTGGAGAGAATATCTGCCATAAAAACATTTTATACTTTGGGAACTGGAAAAGCATATGAGGTTCACCTTCTCAGACATTCTACATAGAGAACAGTCACTACACAAACGTTTCAGCCCACTTTTGAAATCGGTGCACATGTTCACTTTCACTTATTTTTTTCTTTTGGTACTGGGAATTGAACTCAAGACCTTGTACTGATGCTGAGGATTTAGCTCAGCGGCACAGTGCTTGCCTGGCAAGTGCAAGGTTGTGAGTTCGACTCCCGGTACCAGAAAAACAAAAACAAAAACAAAAACAAAAGACCTTGTACTTTCCAGGCAGGCGTTTGTGCCACTGAGCTACATCTCCAGCCCTTCACTTGTCTTTTTTTTTAACGCACAATTGCAAAATATTAAAATAAAAATATTGAGGAAACGCAATATAAGAAATTACTTGTTTATGTATGCATGTTCAAGATACACTAAGAAAAATAGATTTAATAGGGGTGCAATATAAAATTCTATTACAAGTTTTAGGTTTCTTCTGTAGATATAAACTGAATTATAAATAAAATTTTTGATTTATTATATGTCAGACTATACATTTTGAAGAACATCCCTAAATTCGAAAATATGAGTGAAAATTTTTTGTGATAAAAATATTAAATATTAAATGTCAATTTGAGAAGTGTATTCTCACCAACACATTCAGGAAGTGGGGTCCACTTTCCACTAACACATGTAATTGATCGGTGTCCAGTCATTGTGAAGTTTTCGGTACAGTTGAAGTCCACTGAATCTCCATGGTGATAGGGAGGGTTAGAAGGCAGGGCATAGCCGTGGGCAAGTTCAGGTATGTTTTCACATGTTCTTTCCTCCTCTATGCCAATTTCATAAAAAGATTATAATGAAGGTTTATTTTATATTCAAGTTTAAATACATATTTAAAATTCAAGTTTAAATACATTACCAATACATATTGGCAAAGTTGTCCAGTCTCCATCCACACACTGGATTTTATTTGGCCCCTTCAACAAAAATCTAGGATTGCATTTGTATTCCACCACTTCATTGTGCTCATATACTCGTCCCACCATTTCTGTCACTTCCCCGTTGAGGAGTTCAGGAGGTTGACCACATGAATGTACTTGATCTACAGCACAAATACTGTGTGAATAATGGTTAAGCTGTCTATTTTATGATTTTAAAATCAAATTACATGGAGAGATTTTCATTCTTCATTTATTATTTATCATATAACATTACAGAACTCTTAGGAACAAAGAATGTTTACATTAGATCCACATTTTCAGTTGTATCACTTCTACTGAAATAGCATCAGAAGTATATTTAGGCTTTAAATATGTTCAGTGATTTAGATATTTCAAAGATGCATGAAAACCTGTTAGCAAATTATAATGCCTTGAAAAATATCATCACTGTAACAAACTTCTTGGCATATTTTAACTTCTTTTGACTGACACATGCCTAAGTATTGTTTACATATGCTCAATAAATTTCAGGTGAGGTTCAAACCTTATAAAATGTTCAGTATTAGGGAGCTAATGCAGGCAGAGTGAAAAGTTACAGCACAAGACTTTCCAGTCTCAGACACCAGAGTTGTATACATTACTACTACATATCTTAAGAAACAACAGGTGATTAATTTCTTAAATAAATGAATCCATATCTATTAACCCAAATACATCATTCGTGGATGTGTCTTTGGTGCAATGCATTAAACTACAGGCACACTGGAAATCTCCCAGAACAGAGAAGTATAAAAGTGTGTATTCATAATTTTAATACTCATTTCATTAAGATAAATATTTACCCTTGCATGTTGGGACATTAGGGGACCATCCAAAGTGATAACATTGCATAGAATCCGGTCCAACTCTTGTGAATCCTGGTCGGCAGGAGAATTGCAACAAGTCTCCAACTTTATATTTTTCTTTCGTGAGACCAACAAGTACAAACTTTTCTATTTGGGGAATTGTGCATTCTTTTTCTTAAAAAAAGTAAATTAATTTATGAAAATACAATATTAACTGCCAAAGAGAAGTTTATATTTTTCATATAAAAATTATAGAGGGGCATGGTGATATACAGGAAGTGTCAGATAAAGTCTCTTCCTTGAAAACATGTTACACACTGTGTTTTATACACTTTGTAAATTCATATGGGATTCTCTAAGAAATATTATGGTATTTAACTAAAATATAGCTGTCCTGAAAATTAATTTGTGAAGTCAGTTGTTTGCACTGGATCTGGTTTACTTCTGATATTTATAGAACTCACATTTTTATACTTTCAAAACACAATATTCTCTCATGCTTAAAAACAGTAATGCTGCACAATTTTTAAACTACACTTTAAAATACAAACTGATATGTTTCTCTAATATAACTTAGAGCACGAAACATATAAAACATTTCTAATGCATTTGAAGTTAGAAGAGTGTCAGAAGTCACAAAATTAATATACTACCAATGAAAAGCACAAGTTAAGAGACATGTTCAAGGCAATGTTGATAAACATTTTCTATGAGTCTTGAATCTTTCCATTAATATTTGGTTATTTTATTTATAATTGTCTTAACAGTTAATTTTTATTTTATTTTTATTTTTTTGCCTTTTTGAGACAGAGTTTCAACATTTAGTCCTGCCTGTCCTTAAACTTGATGTAGTCCCATTATCTCAGCCTCCAGAATGCTGGGATTACAAGGGTGTTCCACCACGACTCTCCTAGCTAATTATTATGGTTCAAATTCAGAGCGTGCACCAGCGCTTCTGACCCCACAGCTAGATGGACACACCAGGAGACAGAGGATTCCCCCAACAGAAATCATTTTTTAAAGAAATAATAATAGCAACAATGAGCTGCTTCTTTCTCTTTCCTACAAGGGAGTGTGGTATGTGGAATATTCACATGCCCACAGTGTTGCTCCCACAGAGGGAGGAGACAGCCACGGAGAAGGGCAGAAAGAGTTTCTGTCTTTGACAAAATCAGGAAACAACTGGGAGGCCGTGCTATATGCAGGAACCAGGAGAAAGAACGCGCGCCCTCTTGTGGTGTGGATCAGCGGAACTGAAACTGATAGCAACCATCAGCAACTGCCATAGCGGCCTTTATTAGGCCTTGTGTAGGAGGAAATTGCGTGGCTAATTGAAATCAGACAGTGACACAAGTGACGAGGCAGCTGTGTGGAAGAAGTGGGTCACTGCTACAACTGTGTGAAGGTTTTTATTCTTATTGTTGTGGTCATTTTGGTAACTGTAGTCATTACAACCTCACCAATTTGTTTGTATTTGATTCTTGTCGGTGTTTCTGTTCTTTTTGTTGTTTTTGCTCATCTTTCTGTCCTCTGTTTTCATTTTCTTACTCTTCTTTCTGTTGGTTTTCTTTATTGGTACTGGATAATTATAATACTACTTCAACGTTCAACAGTTTCACATTTGGTCTGCTCTCTCATTTCTCTCATATCCTTCAACTCTCTCTGCCTCTTCACTCTTAGAGGAACCAAACAGAACTACCAACAAGCATATTAACAGACACAGTCTCCCCAACGTCTAAGTTCATTCCTTCTCATCTGCAAACATCCTCTTGACTACACAAGTACTCTCCTAAACCTGCTCCACACCAAACCAAAGCTCTGGACTACACACTCTCCCAAACCCTCACTACCACAGTTATAAAGTAATTCCAACAGAGTTCAACTTCCTTTTTTCCTTTTTACCCACTGACATATCTTGTATCTCCCTCTTCCCATTGTTATCTCCTCTTCCCTTTACCCTTTTTCTTCATATGCCTGTACCTCATTTATTTCAGTACAATGTATTCTGTAAGGGGCATTGAGAAAAGGATGAAATTTATCAAAATGTGTTTTAATGTATATGATTAGTGTATGCTGTATTCTGTTGATGTTGTAATCAAGAGAAATTCTCTATATACACATGGATTACACAGCTGAACCAAAAAGACTTAAAAATTCTGAATAATCTGCTAACAGGCATTGAAATTGAAGTAGAAATAAAAAAAAATTCTACCAACTAAGAGAAGCCCATGACCAAATGGATTCACTGCTGAAAACTACAAGAACTTCAAGAAAGACCTAACACCAATACTCATCAAAATATTAAAAGATATGGAGAGGTAAAGAGTACTCCTTAAATAATTCTTGGATTACCCTGGTCCTTGAACCAGACAAAGATCCAACCCCAAAAGAGGACTACAGTCAGCTCCTGACTTACAACAAATGAGTTTCATTGTGGGAGAACATTCGTAATTCATTAATAAGCCTGAAAAAGTGAGTCTTATACACCTTTGACACAAATACACAATGTAAAGCACAAAAAATATGCAAAAATCCAATGTCTCTGGCTGTATTACTGCACACTGTCACACTGTGAAGTAAGCACACAGCAAGCAGCATAACTGTGACAATGTCTGGCAGACATGAGCTACTCATGGGATTTGTTCAAACCTTTGGATGTTCATAATATCAGGTCCACTCATACCTGTAATAGTTAACAACCTGCATATTCATAAGTTGGGAACTTACTGTACAGGTCATGCTCTGTAATGATGATAGGTGTAAAAGTCCTCAACAAGATACTGGCAAACAAATCACTAGAAAGTTTGTACACCATTTTCAAGTAGATTTCATGTCAAGAATGCAAAAATGTTTCAATGTACACAAATAAATAAATGTAATTCATCACACAAATAGAAGCAAGGACAAAAAGTACATAGTCATCTCAGTAGATGCAGAAAATGCTTTTGACAAAATCCAATGTCCATTCATGATAAAAACTGTGAAGAAAATAGGTATAGAATGACCTTATCTCAATCTGATAAAAAAACACTTATGACCAACCTACTGCCAACATCAAATACAAAGGGCCAATAAAGGCAAGAAAAAAAATATTCAACACCACTGGCCATTTGAGAAATACAAATTAGAATGACACTGAGGTTTCACCTTAAACTGGCAAGAATGGTAATCTTAAAAAAGTCAATAAATGCTGGTGAGGCTGCAGTGAAAAGGGAACCCTCCTTCATTGCTGATGGGAATGTAAACTAGTACAACCATTATGGAAATCAGTATGGAGATTTCTCAAAAATTACAAAGAGAAATTCCATTTGACCCAGCTATTCCTATTCTAGTCTCTTCCCAAAAGAGTTAAAGACATCATATTTCAGTGATACATATATACCAATGTTTATATCAGCATAGTTCATAATAGCTAAACCTTGGAAAAGGCCTATATGTCCAGAACAGATGAATAGATGAAGAAAATGTGATATCAATACACAAGGAAATACTGTTTGGTTATAATGAGGGATAAATTTGAGTCATTCATAGGTAAATTGATGCAACTTTAAAGCATAACATAAAGTGAAGTAAATCATGTGCATAAGCTTAAATACCATACCGTTTTTCTCATATGAGAAATCCAAAGTATAAATGAAATATAGAGCAAAATGATAGACAGATGGGGCAAATGGGAATATAGATCCTCTGCTAATAGGAAGGTAGCAAAAGTTAGAGGGTAGAGAGAGGGGAAAGGGGAGGGGCAGGAAGAGGGACCTGGAAAGAATTGAGATGTGTTGTGTACATGTACCAACTACCCACAATGAATGTAATCGGTATATATTAGAGATTGGGGTGGGGAGAGGAAGGGAATGGGATTAAAAAGAATTCAAATGTGCTAAGTACATGTACCCACTTCCTAAGGTGAAGGCAAACACTATATACTGTAAACATGTACTAATAACATAAAAAAGAAAAAAGTCAAAAATTTAATTCTCAGCACTGATATTTGGAAATATTAGTATGAATATTTTACTCAGAGATATATATTTCTTTAAGACTGTTGTAAACACTGTTCTGGTTGTTTATAATAGCAATTCTTTGGAAACATCTTTTCAAAGGAAAGAACTTCTAGGACATCTGAAATAAACTTGGATATCACTCTGTGCAGTTTTTGCAGTGCAGTTGAAGCAAAGATACTTAAGACTAAGCAGTCATTTGTCTATTCAATTTCTGGAGCCTTATACTGTGCTGTCAAATTCCTAGCTATGTGTTCACATGGCCATTAGTCTTTGTAAAATTTGCAATAAAAAGCTGTTTTTTCTGCATCAGTTTCTGAGACAGTAACTCCTATTCCTTGTACTTCTTCACATTTTTCTGTCATGTCTGGAAATAGAAAATATCAGGGGAATCTTATATTCATAATTTTGCATTTCCTTTACTTTATTTTTTGCAGTATAACTGGGACAGGCAAATGTTCTACCACTGAGCTAAATTCACAGTCTTTCCATTCTTTTTTGGAAGAAGGAAACTCAGTATTTTAAACGCTTCTGGTTTCATAAAACCTGAATCTCCTTACACTCACAGAGAGAAAGTGTTGATAACCTTAAAAGCCTTCCTTCTCACTTAGCACAAGATCCAAACTTTTTGTGATCTAAGGCTCACTTACTCTTCCATTGTTAGCAATTATCTTTCTCCTCCTTTCAGTATAGTTCCTGGTTTTCAGATCACTAAATTTTCTAAATAACTTGCCTTCGCATGTGAACGAATCTCCGCTGTCGCCTGTTTTCTGTCTGCATCTTAGATCTTTTTATTTTATTGAACACAGAGATATATAAAATATATTAAACTATCTACATGTTTAGTATTCGGCTTAATTCATCATTTTTAAACTTTGTTTTCCTTCTCCTATGCTAGAATGAAAGCTCTGGGAAGGCAGACCCACGTGTAGGGAAGAAAGAAACCCAAGGTGGCTGCAGTGTAGTTCAGGCGGTGTGGGGGTGGTGGAGGTGGTGGTGATGATTTCCTGGAGATAGGAAGTCCTGACTCAGCAGGACTCCTGCGCAAGCGCAGCTCGAGGTCTCAGTGTAAATAAACTACCAAGGTCTATCCTGGCACATTTTGCCACTGTTGTGTACTTCACTATAAATCTAGACTGCCCGAGAAAGAGCTGCTGGACAGACAGGGCAGCAGCTGGGCTGAAAGGCTGAGCTGAGCGGAGTGGCTGAAAATACGCCTGTCAGACATTCCCAGGGCTCCTCGGCTCTTCCTTGGCCCTCCAGAGTCTCAAGAGAACTTCCCCTGTCTGAACTGGACACAGGACAACGTGTTGGTGTTTTTCAACATTTTCTCCTGTTCTACAAAAAAGTATTTGCATCCTGCATGAGTTAATCTTAGTGGATGCTCCATAACGCTAATCAAATCTCAAGGTCTCCTCTGTTGCCACCATTTTAAAACTTTCGATGTGTTCCTTGTGGTCCTCCTCCTCCTTCCCTCAGGCACTACTCTTCAATCTCAGAGGACTTTTTCTCATACTTCAAAATGAGTAGGTTCTGATTCTTTTTAGCATTAGATATACACACCCATTTTTCTTCCTTCCTTCCTTCCTTCCTTTATGAGGTTGTAAGGAATCCTGTTGCCATCAAACCCCAGTACTTCTAAGACGTGCTCTGATTCCCTTTCTCTCTTGTTTTCTCATGTTCCAAATTGTGTTCAATGCTGACTCATTTTTACTGTATATCCTCTATGCACTCAGTCTGCTCACATTTATCCCCTTTGCAGGCATCCTCCCTTCAGTGCATAATTTCCTCTTGTACTATTTTTAACATCCTATTTGCGGCCTGGCCAGTCTTCTTGGAAGAAATATGTCCATATGCTGCATTATATTACTTGTTAATTATTGTTAGCTTTTTAGCAAATTCTATTCATGCTTTCCCCTTTCCAGCCTTTTTAAAAGTCATGCTTGTTACAGTTAGTATTGGCCTCCATATTCCCAGATCATCACATTTTTTTTCAGTTTTCTAGCTGTACATACTAACATATTTCTCTCCATCAGATATATTTATCACTCCAACTAGCATGATAATATAATTAGATTACAATTTCCTAGACTTTATTATCTTGAGAAGCACTTTGCAAGAGTTAAAAGAACTATTTAACTTATTACCAGAACAATCCTTTGAATACTGGAAAAATTGTAAACATTAACATATCGTACAGACAAGGAGGACTCAACAGTACTTCAGATAAGCTCATTATGTCACTTAGCACGTGGTGGCATTGGAATTAGAATCCAGACAGGATGACTTCACCACTTTCTTATTAATTAATCTTTCATAGTTGTTCTTTTGAATTTTCTTTTCCCCCATATCTGTAACAACATCCATTCCTAGATTTTTTTCTTTCTGTACCTCCAGGTCCTCCTTTTCTTCTATCTACTTTGTAAACTCTCTGCTTTCTGACATCTGAGTAGCGCAAAGTTTCAAAGGTCAGTTTTAAGATCTCTTCTCATTCTTCTTTTTCAGTTTGATATCTGTTATGGTTTGTGTCTAGAGTTTGTGATTTGTATCTAGAGTGTGTGAATGAATCATGGTCTAATGCTGGGATTATGGGTGTGAGTGCTCCACCTGCCATGTGGCGAGAAGCCTGCTTACAATATAAGGGAGGGAAAGAGGCTTGTTCTCCCCGGGCGCTCTCCTCTGTTTTGCTCTTGTTGCTTTTGCTGTTTTCTGCCGCCATGAATTGTTGCCCTCGGCCATGTGTCACTCTGCCTTGGAGTTAACCGAGTATGGACTGAAACCTCCAAAGACTGTGAGCTAAATAAACCTTTCCTTTCTTAATTTTGGGCATCAGGTATTTTGTCCCAGCAATGAGAGAAAAGTAACTGAGAAAATGTCTTCACTGAGATGGTGATAATCTCCACCTTGCATCGCCAGGTTAGATCTATATCCAACTCTATATATCCACTCCTATCCTTTACTTTTACATGTCTAATTTTGATTGTCTGTTGGCTGCTCAAGTCGCAAGTTGTAAATTTTTCCAAAGTTTACTTCTCTTGTCAGCACCAACTTTCAGAATGGCTCTGCCAGTCACCTATGTTTATGAAACCTAACGGCTGAAACCCTTGACCTACCACTCTTCTTTCGCCTAACAGTACCACCACCTGTGTAAGCTACCAACAAAATGTGTCCCAAGTTGGTCCTCAGTCTTCACTCTACTTGAATCACATTTCTTTCTTGCCCTACACAGACTCATTGCGCTGTCTTTTGCACACCAAAGCAAATTCCCAAAACTGTAAAATCTACCAAATTAAATAATTTCTTTCCTTTAAACTTTCAAAGCTTTTTATCAAAGTGAATCCAAATGTTCACATGCTCTGAACTACTCTGAATAATCTCTCCTATGACTTTTAACCAGTATCAGTTCAAAAAGTAGTCTTACATTTCCCCAGTGTTGTTTTCAGAGACTGCACATACTAATCCCTTGGCCTGGAAGAACCTGTATATGTTCATTTTCGCGCATATTCAAGACCTCTTCTAATTCTAGGAAAAAAGACAACTAATTGGCAAATATGAGACAGAATTATGTAATAGTCTGAGTTGTCAAAGTTAAAAAATACAGTTATTCTCGGGAACTGTATAAATTAACTCAAGGTGTAAAATATAAAGCCGAATCTGAGGAGCAAAATAGTTTAGGAAGTTCTAACACAGTAAAATTTTAGTAATGGATACTGCATTGGAAATAATTTAGCAGCTTGAACTCAAGGTAACAAAAGCAATTATGCTCTAATCAGAGATTATCATCTCTAACTCACAAAGCACCATCTCCTTCTAGTTTATGTTAAATCAGAAGGAACATTTTGAGTTGCAGTGTTGTTCTTTAAAAACATCTGTAGAAAATTCAGTTTTCTAAAAATTGGAACTCACATGGATTTATTTTTATCCTGAGGAAAACATCCTCCCAAAATGTCAGTACTTACCATAACATGTGGGTGTGTCGGACCATCCATTGTAAGAACATGTTATGGAACCTTTGGCACGTTTAAATTTGTTTTCATATCCAACATGGCATTCATAGTCCAACTTGTCATTGATTTTAAACCAAGTACGATTATTTTTGGTTCCAGCTTTCTCAAATACTGGCATTTCACAAGATTCTAATGCATAATAAAATTCAGGATTTCATTTCTAATGCAATTCAGTGGACCATCTAAGTAATTCCCACCACAAAAGGCTTTTTCATTTTGTGTGCTAAGAAATTAAGTATAATGTAAAGTAATCTAAGACTAATGACAAATCATTGTCCTGAAATAATTACTAAAATTGAGAATTATATTTTTATATAACATTTTTCTCATGAATTATACTTGTCTGAGAAACTTTTTAAAACATTTCTCTGAATTCAATTATACTTATGAGTTTACCCAGTGCTGATAATAAAATAGGCCATTACAGACCTATTTTACTCTCTTTTTTAATTTTTAGGAAACCAGAGTAGTATGCTGTGAATTAAGATACCAGTCTTAATAGTTTTGGTAAACTATTTTTAAAAATTAATTGAATGAAATATTGATGTATTTATTATATAAGACATTTTCTGTTTTATAATAAAACATGATAAGTAGATTATTATAATTTAGTGTATATGAATTTTGTATGGGTGTGACTTTTATTGCTTTCTTTAGATAGAATTTATAAGAACCATTGGAAATTTTTTAAAAGAACAGAAATTAAAATAGTAGGAAGGGATAACTTAAGTAGCTATTTCATTTAAAGTAATTTAGATATTACTTCACATTATCACTGAATGGTTTTGTGATAAATGTGATAACTACACAAATCAGTTTTAGGAAATCTTCATTAATGTTTAAGTGATATGGCAGGGAAATCTTTCAACACAACAAAAATGGATAGCACCTAGAAATGCCTCTTTTAATATCTAAATGTTTATGAAGATTATCTAAGAGGAAGGGTATTCAGATGTATACTTATCATGAAGTTCTAAACATAAATTATAAAGGATGAATTATTCTGAGATTACACACAATAAACCCACATCTCTACTAAAAACATTACTTTTATGTCTAAAAGCCTAGTCACCTAAAAAACAGTAGACATAAAGTCACAAAGGTCTCAGTTGAAAATAAATGAGCATACCATAGAATATGCATAAAGCTCCCTAATTCCTAAATCATAGGATGTGTTAAAGTAGAAAGAAGGGAGACAATTAGCGCTAGATAACAGTACTGGTAATTAATTCTAAAAGGAAAAAATAATGATGTATACTTTTTCCCAAAGCTATTTTCTTTTCTTACTCCTCTAATGAATACACAACAGTCACCTCAGGAAAGAATAAAATTAATTTTTTACATCATTAAGATACTGATTCTAATATAATAAATTACTTACTAATGCAAATGGGTTGATGTGACCATCCATTTTCCAGACATGTGATTGGTCCTGATGTTTCTCCCTCTGGTGTGACATATCCTGGTTTGCACTTAAATTGTGTTTTTTTATTTAAAACATATATATAATCAGATTCAGAGAGAAACCCATTTTCAATTTCTATATCTAATTTTGAACATGTTTCTAAAGTGGAAAAGAATAAAGATAAAAATATGTTCAGTGCCATTTTTACAAGAAGTCCAATAATATAACAGTATTAAAACAAATCATTTGTATGAGTGATGTTGTATGTGAAAACCTGGAGTCAGCATCACCCAGGTTGTTCAGCCTAAGAAAACAAGCTATCAGGTTTGAAAGTTATCACATCAAGAGCCTTTGTGAAATGTTTTGGGAAAAAGGCAAGATTTAAAACGTTCATAATTCTTTTAAAGAAATTATTAGAAATCCTTTATCTAATGCATCCTGAATCCTACAGAACTATACCTAGAACTCCACAGGAACTATGATTTTTTTTCCTGGGAGTTGCTTTAAACCTGGGAATAGTTTGGATTTCCTAGGCATCCAGAAATCATTTCACCATTGGGGCTGTTTTAATCACACGTTCATCTCAAGGCTCTGTTAGTATAGTTGCTACAGACTTTGGCTTGACAATTTCAAATATAATCCTGATTGTGTGCTTGAAATATAATGCATGCATGAAGTTCAAAGAAGATAAGAAAGAGAAATACATTGATATTTATCTTCTCAGGCCAAAATGATGATTCCTTGAAAAATGTAAAACTTTACTTGAACCTGCAAAATTAGACCTCTGTCCATTACTAGGTTTCTTCCTAAAAAGTTTCATTTATACATGAATAAGAAGGAAATATAAAGAGAAAATGTTAAATATTTTTAATTGGCTGATAAAGAAAGCACATTCAATAATTGCAAGGTGACACCAAAACAGTGATAAAGGGAAATATATCATTAAACAGTCATAACTGAAATAAATAGAAAGCAAAAATCAAAAATTGTTTAACTTTAGGAAACTAGGAAAAACAGAGCATATTGTACATGTACATTTTGAAAAAAAATATGAGCAAAAATCAAACTGAAAACCACAAAAGATGAAATTAACAAAGATAAAGGTGATTTGGTAAGGAAAAGTAACAAGATTGATAAATAGCCGGGAAAAACAATCAAGAAAACCAGTGTTTCAGCCACAAGGAGGGAATTGAACTGAATAGTTGAAACTTATCTATCAGGAGTTGGAAGACAAATAATATGTGACTGTGATTTCATTGAAAAGGAGACAAATGATGTGAGTTCTCTCATAAAAGTGCCTTTTGCTTGGAGAAATTGTCCCCAAAACAGCAGAGATCAGAATCCAAACAGAAAATGGGAGCTGTATTTACTTGAAGAAACAAGAGTATGCTCAGAGAGATGGACAGTACCACAGTATACAGGATATGAAACCAGGGAGGAAAATACATTAGCATGGGAGTGCTGCAAGTCAGCAAGGAGGTCCCTTCGATTGTTTACCTTAATGTGCATATACTGTACCATGGGACAAAACTACATGAGAATAAGCAAAGCATAACTATGAGAGAAAATACAACTAGAAGCAAACAATAACTTTCAACATTCTCAGATCACCTAAGACCCTGGGAATTATTCAAACTTCAGCAGTCAGAATGGAAAGACTCTTGACTACTGAGATCATTTAGTAAAGTATACAGATGAGGTTTTATTAATATTATGAATAAACTGGTCCAAATAACTTGTAATAAATTCTTTTTAGAAATCCAAATGACCGAGCAAAGTTAGTCTTCCAAAACAAAATTTGAAACTAGTAATCCTTCAGGTATCCAAGCACAAACTAAGAGCTCCAAGAATGGCCTTTTTTCCTTCATTAAAACTTGAGGGAAAGGTGAAAAGAAAACAGTTGGCAATATCTCAGACAGAAAATGTTTTGATAATGCTCACCCTATTCTACCCAAACATCAGTGGGTAAACTATGTATCAAAATTGGTAAAATAATATTGAAGCAGAATGGAAGAAAATGATTGCTTTAAATATCTATATGAGAAAGAGATAAGGTTTCATATTAATTATTTTAACTTTTACCTTAAGACATAGTAAGAAGTAGAATAAATTAAACTTAAAGTAAGCAGAAAAAAAGAAACAATCAAAAACTGAGCTGACATACATAACATAATATATGCATAATAACAACCAAAAGTTCTTTATTTTAGAAGATCCCTAAAATTGATAGGCATTAAAAATTTTGTCAGTGAAAAACAATTGAAGTGACACAAGTTGCCAATATCTGCAACTTGGAATGGCATCATTATAGTTTTTATGTATATTTAGTGAATAATAAAAAAAATTGTGAACCATCACATGTCAATAAATTCAATAATAAGAGGAGTTAATGAAGCTATCAAAATCATAGATTGCAACAGTTCACTCAAGAAAACATAGATAACAATGCAATTATGTTTAATCTGAAATGTTTGTAAATCTAACAGAATATATGCAGGATCTCCCCGGTAAAACCAAAAAACACTGCTGTAAGAAACAAAGGCAATCAGAATTAAGTACAGAGATAATACTATGTTCATTGATTAAAAACCCAATAAAATTATGACATCAATTTTCTTTAAATTGACTTATACATACATCCCGAGTCAATCAAGAACCAAGCAAAGAATTTCTGATGTGTTAAAAAACTGATTCTGAAATTCACATGAAAATGAAAAGGGACTACAATAGCAAACTCTTGAAAATTTTTGAAGAGATCAGTTTGCTTAATCTAATTTAAACATTGTACTATGAACTCATAAGAGGAATTATGCTTATTCAAAAATGCAGCAGATTACGTTTTGAATCATTTCATTATGTTACATTCTGGATAAAGCAACACTATGAGCATCAAAAACAGATTGCTGATTGCCAGGTGATGTAGTAGAGCAGCATAACTACAGAGGGGCAGCATGCGGAAAGTTTGCAAAGTGAAAGCTGTTATTTGTGATGATTTTCAAGTATGTTAGAGCTATAAAACCAACCAACCAATCAACCAAGAAACAAAAATAAATGCTTCTTTACATAGGTTTAAAAAAAAAACAAAAAAAACCTAGTAGGTAGGATTTATAAAATACCTCAGCTTTAAATAAGGATGTCAGAAGATTTTTGATACAGATTCTTAGTCAAATATGGTCAGTGAAAAACACTGATAAATATGGAGAGTTAACTATATTCTATAGGGCCTGGGGATTTAGCTCAGTGGCACAGCACCTGCCTGACAAGCGCAAGCTTATGAGTTTGATTCCTGATACCGGAAGAAAAACAAAAACAAAAACTGCATTCTATAGAAGAATTAAAAAGTGATACCCTTAGCAGCTTTGGCCAAAATGGTATTAATAACTCAAATTTCACAACAAACTAAAGGAAATTGGTATTTGATGATACATTTGCTTGATATGTTTCTTTTAGTGACTATTTGAAAAACTACAGTCAATTTGCACTTATGCAGAACACACTACAGTGTATACCTATTGGGAGCAGCTGAGGCTGGAAATTGGTCACATGTTGGGGCAAGGCAAGGCTGGTGTGCCTAAAGCAATCAAGCTACTTCAGTCCTGAGAAAACATCTCACCTGGGACAATTTGAGGCATTAGTTACTAGGCAACCCTGTGTCATGTGATACTAACTTTGTCAAATGTATAAATAAATGCCCCTATGGTGGTCATTCAGTTCCTTTCCTCCCATCACGGAGAGAGAGGGTTCCACCTGACCTCAGCTTTCGTCTCTTGTTTTATTTCTTCATCCTCTTGCCATTTTTCCCAGGGAACATTGAGAGCTGTGCAGGACACAGCAAGTGGTAAATGAACAGGGACTTGGGTGAGCAAAAACAAATGGGTGAGAGGACGTTTTTCATTTGTGCACAACAGGGGGTAGAAGTGCATTGGTAGGTCAATATTCAGCACAGGAGTGCATTTGTATTGGCAGTTTGTCAGGTGTAAAAACTTGGGACAAAATGTTCACTAGCACCTCTTTAAAAAAAAAAAAAGAAGCCTAGAAGAAGCCAACAGGAAAGAGGAGAAGTCATGGGACAAGCAGAGCCTCAAGAATCATGGATGTATATAGATGTAGATAAAAATATTTGTTGTATTCTTGGTTCCTGCATTTGACTTACTTTTTAAGACCACCACAAAGGACTTGGCTCAAAGTACTACTTTAAAATCAAGTCCCTAATAGGAAACGGAGGGCAAAACAAAGGTGACACAGATAGAGTGTAAGCCCTCTAGCATTGCTCAATCAAATAAGAAAAAAAAAAGTATGGGAGTTAAAAAAGGAAATTCTTTTCAGTTGTGCAGGGCTAGCTTGGAGTGGCATAGTACCACCTGGGGGAGAGGTGCAGGCCAGGTGCAGGGAGGGCCCGTGTTCCTGTCCTAGGCAGACTCAGCTAGGATTTCCTAGCCACCCAGGAGCCCTTGTGCTCTGCTAGGTTCAGCCAGCAGAGGCTATGGCTGCAAAGGCGGTGACTGCCAGGTCCCCTGGGGAGGGGGAGGTGTGGGTGATGCAGGCCATCCCCAGCAATGATACAGGTCAATCAAGCCAGCATGGAGTGGAAGCCACAATCAGAGGCAGGAGCCCAAATACAAAACAGAAATCAAGGTTATGATTCAATTTACTTAAAACACTGCTCAAGTCACCTCAGATTCTCCTATCACTCAATTGGTCATTCTTTCCTTGACAAATATTATAAATGAGAAAGGGGGATCTAAGGATTTCAGGTTTTTTGATACCTTTTGGGTTCAGAAATAAAATTGATTATTTAAAGGAGAAATATTTTAAAGGGCTTCTAGACACAAGTGTGGATGGCCTCTGGGTGTGGCAACTGCAGGTCTGCAGTAACTGGAGTGCTAGATTGCTGACCTGGAGGGATGCAAAAGGTCGTTTTGCCTTGCAGGAATGATTGCAGAGCCATTTTCTCTCTTTCCATCACAACTGGCACTAAAAAGAAGCCTTTATGCTTTGGCCTCAAGGTCATTGATTTAAAAGACTGTTCCCATCCTCAAGATTAAAAGTATTTTGCCATTAGGTAAAAAATCATATTTCCCAAGATTTACAGTAATGGGGATATTAAAAAAGATCACTTAAAAGAACAAAATTCTCGTAAATAGAAACATTACACTTTGTCTCAAAAAAGTGTATATTTCAGTGATAACTTTGGGCTTTTAGAGTTATACTCAAAACATTTCCTCATTTTAGATTATACAGTTAATAAAACTGTCTTGCTTTAATTATAGTCTTTTTCTTAATATCATGTACAAGATATGCTATTGATTTATAAAGTTTTTGGTGTTCCTTGGTATTCTCTTGATTTCTAATATGGTTGATTGCCCATTTTACATTCCTAAATTTATTTGGTATAGAAAAACTTTGGTATTTTACAAACAGGTATGAAGGTTTAAACAGTCCCTTGATTTTAACATTCCATTTAAATAATGACAGGCCTGCTGATGGCCTCTGAATGAGTACAAGCTATGACAACCTTTTCATGTTTGGGTCACCTTATTCAACAGAAACATATTGTGCCCCAAACTGCTCAGATCCAGGTTAATAATTTTGCAACCCTAACTGAGTTTCACACTTTACTTGGTAATATTAATTGGCTTTGCCCAGATCTTAAGCTAACTACCCAATTTAGGACCTTCTTTTGATAGTCTCAAGGGGGATCAGCCCCTACCTCTCCAGGAGTGCTTTAGCTGGAGGCTAAACTGCCTTAGATGAAGTTAGAAATTTTGCCAAATCCAAACCCAAAGCAAGAGTCACAAAACTGGGTTGTTTGATAACAGGTGAGATTTTGTATCAAATCAAGGAATATTATTAATCTGTTTAAATAAGATCTTCAAGGAAAAGAATAGATAATGGGTGGTATCATACTAAGTGTAGCTATGGTTCCCTTTTCAATAGTGATGATGGAGTCTGTTTCACCCAGTTTTAAATAGTCTTGCCTGGAACATCAGTCTAGGTATGGATTATTACATTTGTAACTAAAACAAATTTCTGTACACTACTTGAGGTCTGTAGCCTTAACTTAGACTCCTGGTTGTATATCATCTAATCAAGGAATCTGTCTTATTATAGGAGCCCTGTACAATGGGCTAAAACTATAGCCAGCAACATTGAATTCCTATCTGACCTTCATTCTCATCTCAGTTCTCTCTCTCTCTCATCTGTGATCTTTCCATATATAATCTCGAGCCCACTCATGATTGGAATGTGCTGCCTATTTTAAGATCATAATAATTAACCTTTGTTGTGCAAAGTAACAGTTCATAAGCTGCAAGGAATAGAAAACAAACAGCTTTGCAGAAGCCATTATTCTCTCTACAGCAATGAAAAACCAAGTTCAATGACCCACACTGTAATGAAGAGAAGATATACTGAAATAAGGAAGAATATATACATCAGAGGAAAAGAATAAAATATCTGAAATACATACAAACTTATCATGAACAAATTTTTTAACAAAGTTCCAAGTTTCTTGATGTGCAAATAAGTAACATTTGCCAAAATTTCACTAAAACTGGAAATCCATACAAAAATAAATTTCATTTCATACATAAAATAACTGGAAGTCAGTCACAGACATAAATAAGTAAATATATAAACTTTACAGACAAAATTTTATGGTAAATTTGACTAGTAAAGCATAAGTCAGAAAAATTGATTAATTTAGATTTCATCAAAAAATAAAGAAATATGTTCTTGAAAATAAACTATTAAAAACTCAGAAGATGAAGAATGTAAGAAAAATGCACAAAATATATATTTGAAAACATGATTGCATCCCATATATTTAAAGGCCTATTATAATCTAAGATAAACTACATAATTAAATCTGGAAAAACATAAAAATTTCATAGAAGATAAAATTAAAAAGCAAATAAAAATGTGCTCACCATTATTAGTCAACCAAAAACATAATGACATACCACTTTGCATATGCTAATGTGATTAAAATATAAAAACTGCCCATCCTGTTTGTTATTGAGGATATGGGCCCACTACAATCCATATATGTTGCTGGTGGGAATGGAAAATAATTCAATAATTGTTAAAATCAACATGGCAGAATCTTATAGGTTTAATCATGCACACAATCACAAGATCAATTTCACATTAACATATTTTTCCAAGAAATAGTAACTGCATTTCATCCAAAGATGGGTGTTTATATGTTCATAAATAGCTCAATCATAACTTCCAAAATGTGAAAATAATCCAAATGTTCATCAATAGTGGAATAGATAACCAAATTTATGTATATCCATATAATGCCATACTCCATAAAAAGTTACTAAAGCAAAAAACAACATAGACTAATACACTAAAACACATAGACTAACATAGACTAAAACACAGATTTTACTGAAAAAAGAAGCCAAATGTAAATCTAATCCGTGATAGAAAGAACACTGATTACCAACTGTGACGGTTGAGTAGACAGGGAACAAGAGAACTTTTTAAAACTATCTCTTGTTTAACTGGACTTGTACTTATGTACACACTCTCACTTGGTAAAAGCCTTGGGTCCATGCACTAAACGTGTGTGAATTTTAGTTTATATAATTCAAACTCAAATAAATGACATTTTATAAAAAGTGACCTTTAGGAAATTAAACAGACAGTGATTTAAAAAAGCAGTAAATTTTATTGAGTTAAAGAAAAAAAGCCACATCAATCTGCTTCAGTAGAACACACAAAATGAAAGAGATAAAATCAGAGAATAGGTTCAAAGGAGTCAAATCAAACAACAGAAACTCTAGATAGAAAATTAAGAATATATACAAAAGTAATACTGAGTAAAGTCAAAGATGGTCAAAGCTGAATAAATGATTGGATTAAATATTCATACTTATAAACCCATAGTAGTTAAGTAGAGGATTACAAAAACACCAATAGAAAACATGTTCACTAATATCACAAAAACGAATACACAGAATAACATAATTAAATATACATGTTTAGGATACATATGCATACACATATTTAGGATATATGAAAAAGGTACAATATCAAGTTACTGCAGATATGTGCATATCCCAAATTTTTTATTAAGGAAATGGAATTGTGTATAAAAATCAACACAAATGGATTAAAACATGAATAGGAAAAGCAAAGTGGACTATAACTTTTAGAATAAAAATATACAATGTATATTTTTTGCAGAAGACAAACATTACTTAAAAACAAAAAATTAATGATCAAACTATTGGTAGCTTTATAGAAAGAGGAATGAATTGCATTTATAATAAATATCAAAGAAAAATTACAGGCCACAGAAATGACTACCACGTTTATAATACACTCAATTGAAAGAGAATTAGTATTTAGAATTACTAAGATTCCAGCAAAAACTAGAACTTCCAAAAATTAAATTAAGAAAAACATCAAATTTCATTTTAAATTAGGATAATTAACTATCAGTTAACCTATGACAGTATATGCTACACCCACATAGTAAGGAAATAAATACACACCAACACCGCGATACTACAACATAGCCATTTATTTTGTAAATATTAAACTGTGATATCATCCAATCATTATCAAGGATCTAGAGCAAGAAGAAATCATTGCCATTCATGTACTATATATTTGTACAATCACTATAGAAAACTTCCTAATATTTTATGTACCAGAAAATCCATTATTTGTTACATATGCCAGAGAAATTCAAAGACAAACAGCACTACTGTAAGAATGTCACATCATTTCTTCAAAATAATATACACATTTTTGATTATCACTGTCTTTATCTTCTTTTTTGTTGTTGTTGTTGTTGTTTGTTTATTTATTTTTTTTCCGGTACCAGGAATCGAACTCACGACCTTGCACTTGCCAGGCAGGCACTTTGCCACTGAGCTAAATCCCCAGCCCCCTTTATTTTCTATTTTAAACTCTCATTTTGTCACCATTTTGAGTTTAATGATGAAATGATTTCAAAACACATATTAATATGATTTAATTTAAAAAACAAATGCTTCATTCCATTCTTTGTCATCTTCATTATGCTCCTGAGAGGTGAATTTATTTTGTTATGTTCTTATCATGAAATTTTATATTCATTTATACACACTTCAAAAATAAAGCAAGTTAATATAAACTTTTTACCACAGTTAATGGAGATGGTCTTAGAAAACCATGAGCATAGTAAGATCACACAGTACTTTACTTACTGATACGGTTGCACTTGGGAGGAGGGGACCAGCCATCCTCTGTGCATGTAATTTTGGTCTGCTCATTTGGAAGACTATAGCCAGGATAACACTTAACCTCTACAGACTGATCTTGTAAATATGTTTTTCCTGCAGATGGATGATGTCCATTTTCAACATAATTGTGATAACATGTTCCTAAGGATGACAAAAATGATAATTTTTTTAAAAAGTGAACAAACATTAATTTAGTGAAAATACTAAATTAAAACAAACTTTCACAACATTTAAATGGCAATACATAAACATCCCAAGACATGTGCAATGAAGAATAGCTGTAAGTACTGCCCACATTTCTTATAAAAATGAAAGCACTATTCAACATTTTTATCTTTAGTTTTTATAATTAAAACGAAATAAGTATTCTTGTAAAGTTTCAATCTTTATGTTTTCTCTGATTTTCGTAAACAGCTCTTCATGAAAGACAAAATGTTTCTGTTCATAAATATCTTGGCTCCATTTTGTCACCCAAGTGTTGCGCGTGCTTCCTTTTTCACATGTATCTATACTTTCCATTATACACTTATACATACATACTTATGAAGACGTTTACTTACTGAAGCATGGTACTTTTGGCTCCCACCCTTCTTTTGTGCAGTGGATGTGATCCCAGCGTGACCTCGAAGGAGTCACAAAATTGTCATCACAGTAATAGCTGTAATATTTTCCTATAGGTACTGGAAAGTATGGTCTATATCTACTTTCCCAAAATAGGCTTCCATGTCTTATTTCTGGAAAGTCACAAGGTTTCACTTGTAATGAAGAAACAAAAAAAAATTAATTTTATTTTAGTGAACAATTGTACCAGAAATGATTCATTTTATCAATGAATTATATTCTATTATTAGCATAATTATGTACATGGACTTAAGGCTCCCAGCACAACAAAAGTTATAGAATTCAGATGATTGAGGTAGATGAGTATGTTTTTGAGAATGACATTAAATTATATCTTGTGGGTCACTGAAGAAAGAGACTAAGATATTTGTCACTATCCAAATAGCTACAATTATGATAATCACTGATTTTTAATTTTAATGGGAAAATGAGATTGTTCTAATGTTATAAAATATTTAAAAATTAGATATGGTATCATTATATCTTATTGAGTACTTCTTATCTATCACATAATTTTAACATTATGTTAATGTAGTGCTACTTATTATATTGAAAGGTTTATACATAATATTTTTCAGAAAATTTGCCCTTTTCATAAAATCATTTAGCAATAACTTATCTTTAATACCGTGAGAGTATTTTTTCCATGAGATATGATTCTATTTTAAGAAACCTTAGTGCTAATTTTCACAACCTCATATATGCAAAGATGTATAATGAACAGGATGAATTTTCTTTATTTTATTTATATTACTTGATACAGAAATTTTTCAAGAAATTTCTACATATTTGTTATGTAAACTATAAACTTTGAATTCTTGTTTATACTAAACATCTTTTTTTAACAAAGGCTAGAGAATGATAGCTAATTATACTTTCTTTGCATGTAGTACATACCTCTTATTGAAAAATATTTCCCCACTTTTATGAAGACTCCATTGATAAGATTAAAAGTTTATCTAGTGTCTAGTCTCATTTCTTTTATATAATACTTGCTTTTTCTCCCCATAACTTTTTAAAAGATGTGTAGTATTGTCTTTTTACCCTTGGATTTTACAAATCACATCTGATTTGTCAAGACTAATGTGATTTAGCAATAACCATGTTTTAGATAAGATTTGGTTTTCAGATTTATGGAAGTGGAATTTTAAAAAATCAATGGAATTTCCCATAAAATTGTAGAGTAGATTGGAAAACTAACTCTTCACTACTGAACAAATCAGAGTCATCCACTTCGTTGAAGTGCTCCATAGAACATTAATAAAATCAAGTAGACCACTGAGCTATCTAGTCAAAGGTATGAAAAAGAAGCTTAATTAAAAGTAGGTTTCTCTGTAATCCCAGCATTTCAGAGGCTGAGGCAGGAGGATCATTGTGAGTTAGAGACCAGCCTGCACTACAAAGTGAGCCCAAGGCCAGCCTGCACTGCACAGTGAGACACTGTCTCAAAAGGACATAAAAAGGGCTGGGGATTTAGCTCAGCGGCACAGCACCTGAGCAAGTGCAAGGTCTTGAGTTTGATTCTTGGTACTGGGGAAAAAAAAAAAGACCAAAAAAAAGAACAAAGAATTTAAAAAATAAATAGATTTCATTACAATGACCAGCCTGAATTCCTTTGTTATTCTCTGTCATGTAGCCACATTTGAATCTGTCTCTTCTTTACAAAGTCATTCCTTGAAGTAAATGTAATATTCCACATAGACTCTGATCAACAGAGGGGCGTAGTACTTAGAGTAATCTCATTCTTCATCACACACTTCTGCCAGGACAGGTTATGGCCTCCCTGCAGTTAAGGTGGTTCATCATAGTGTTGATGCAAATTGATCTTAGAATCAGTTAAAATATTCACTAGTTTGTACAACTGCTGCTGACCTACCTTGTCCTAGGACAGCTAATTTCTTTGATCCCAGCCCAGGATCTTATTGTTACTCCTGCTAAATGCCATTCAACTTGGCATATAGGAGTCTGTATGATCTGTCCTAATGTACATTCATTATTATTTATATTATTCTAATTGAAATGAGTAGGTCATAAATTCTATTTAGGCCTCCTGCACGCTCTCTCAGGTCAATAACTCTGGAGAAAGCTAGATATCATTCAAGCAACTTATGGACAGGACTGTGGGGTGTGGAACCAAGGCTTCCTGCTAAAATCTATGCAAACAAGCTATGTCAGAGGCAAATCCTGCAGGCTGGCCGAGCCTTCACATGACTACGGCCTATGCCAGTTTCCTAACTATTTCAGGGAAAGACACTTTGACTCAGAACTACTTGACTAAGTCATCCCCAAATTCCTGACACATAGAAACTATGAGATACTAAGGATTTGTTAGTAAGCAAATATGTTTTAAAGGAAATTTGTTGTGATGCAAAAAATAATGAACGTATTATGTGTTGACTGGCACGATTCTTACCCAATGTTTTATTTAAATATTGGAAGAAGTTTATTAACTAGAAAAACATGTTTATACACACAAATGAGTTTGATTTGGGGTGGCAAGAAATTAAGAGGTTCATTAAAGTTTATATCCAGCCGTCCTCAAAGCCTCATGCACTCACAGGTGTGGCTTTGGGAGGGGGCGGGACCGCGGCTGTGTGAAACCCGAGTAGTCCACTGGTGCGTTTACAGATGGGTGTGATGCTGGGAGGTGAAGCCTGGTGGGAAAAGGTTGGTCACTGTGGTCGTGGCTTAAGGTTATATCCCTCCTCTCCTGATGGCCGGCCACTGCCTCCTACCTGTTCCACCTTGACCTTTCCCCTCTGCCATGCTGTCCTGCCTTGCAGGCAGCCCACAACAGACTGAAACCTCTAGGAGCCGTGAACCAAAATGAGCCTCCCCTCCTTTAACTTGTGGATGTCGAATATTTTGTCCCAGCCTTGAGAAAATAATTAAGGCAAGGTTATAGTTTACTAAAATGGTGCTTTTGATATTACTTAACTTTGGCTACTTTGTAAAAAGAATTAAGATGTGCTCTATCCATGTAGCAACTCCACACAATGAATGCCATCATTGTGTGCAGGAATATGCACTGTAAACAGTTTTTAAAATTAAAAAAGAAAGCTTCTAAAAGGAACTTCATGGACAATACAACAAATACTTGGTTTTACTGTCCCCCTTTTTATGTGTTTGAGAGAATGTAATTTCAGAATTAAGAAGTAAGTCAAAACGTAAACGAAACTTACAGCTACATCTTGGAGCGGGTATCCAGCCACTACTTGTACATTTTACCTTATTTCCCCTGGTGGCAGGGTAAAAACCATCTTTACATTCATATGTGACTTCATCTCCAGTTCTGTGTTTAATCCTTTGAGGTGAGTAGACACCATTTGGAATATAAGGAGGAGTACATGTTTTTTCTGAGGAAAAAGATAAGAGGATATGTAGATAATGCAGGAATCGGACCCATTAAAATTAAGTGTATGAAAAAGAAATACGAATGTTATTTATTTGTCCTTAGCACAGCACAAATGGCATCACAATGTTCACATCTTCATGTCCTGCCTGACGAGTCACTCATATTTCTCTTCATGCTATATTTTCATTGGACATATTTGTAACTCCTGGACTCCTAATCCCACTTTCTTCAAAGCTACCACATACTTCATGCTCCTCCAGATGTGACAATGACATTGTCTTGTATAAGTTTCTTCTTTCTATATCCTTCTACTTCTCTTATCACTTTTGTTTCCATAAGGGGTGCTTATAAAATGTTCAACTGGTGAGCTTTCACATCTTTCCTTCTTTGGAGTAAATGTGACCACACGACTTGCATAAGACAATGTAATGAAAATGGACGCAGAGTCTTTTATCTCGATGAGAAAGTTTTAAAAGTGATTGTGTGAATTTTTATGTTCTTGCTGCCAAATTGTGGTAAGAAAGGACATAGAAAGATGATATCTCTCTCATTTGATTCTTAATAATTAATACTGTAGCAGAAAATGCCCCCCCCTACAAGCCAGTCTGTTAGTTGCCTAGGTAACAGTTCCTGTTACAAGTTCCTGTTACTCCTGTCGCTTAGAAATGCCTGGTCACTGTGATGTATATTTTAAGAACCAATCAAAGATGGCCAAGTATTCTGCTTCTGTACCTCCCCTTTCACCTCCGTGAAAACCTCCCTCCCTGGGCCTTCAGGGTCTGATATTTTGGGAATGATTCCTACCAGTGCCTGTCAACATAGAATAAATCTGCCTCCAAATACTGGGTGTCCTTTGGGTGTTACTGCTTGCCATAGCATGTAAAGGGCAGAGGCTCATCTGACCTACTCTGTAAGGGAGGATTTGTTGGACATAAAGTTTATTATGATATTGATCTATTGCAATACATTTTCTTACTGAGATATGATAAACTAATATGGCATTAGCAAAACCGTTTTGTAAATGGTTAGTGAGTTCAAGGCCAGACTGCATTACAAAATGTGACTCTGTGTCAAAAAAAGGAAAGAATTTGTTTGTTAGGTGCTCGCATTATTTCTTATATCATTATTCCTACTGTGAATATCCTATCCTGTTAGCATTAGACACACACTGAAGTTTATTTTGTCAGAATGGATCATACATTTAAGAACAATAGAGAGATAACAGCAATACTTCCAGGAGCTACTTCAGTCTGCCTTGGACTGCCTTAAAGCACCAAAGTAGTCACAAGTGATACATGAGCAAATACATCTTTGTTTACAAAAAACATGCAGTCTATATTTGACCTATGAGCTACAGTTTGACATTGTTTACCATAATTTATAAAGCTTGCCCTTATTCCTCAACTCTGATATATCTCAATAATGGATTGATTTACATTTCTTTTCTAATAAAACGTCATATATTTTATGTATGGCGGAAAAGTTACATAAATGTCGGTATTACTTCCACATTGTATTTGGGCTTAAACACTTGTGGTGCCCATTCACCTTTGCCTGAAATCCTTTGATGTCCTTCTTGTGTACTTATTGCATTTTCTGATGCAAATGACTCTTTGTCTCCTGACTTCTTCAAAGCACCTAACACAACTGTGCTTTCAACAGATAGCAAGTCTTGGGCTTCACACAAATGAATTGAGACTACCAATGTGTTTCCCATAATTCTTTTCAATATTCCTTCAATATGAGCTGTATCCATTCTTAATTAAAACTTTCCTTCAGCATGCAAGGGCAAGACCTTTGAAGTTTAGGGTAGCTTCAAACCTTTTATTTCTCTGCTCTTCTTAAATTTTGGCCCCAATTTTATGCTTTATTTTCTAGATCTTGTCTCCTTATCACTTTCTATGTTACCACCAATTTACTCTCTATGTTACCACCAATCTGGCTTCTGTCTGGCGCTCACACATGCCAAGTCAATTCCTACCATTTGCACTTCCCATCCCATATGTTTCAAACAATTCTGCCCTAGAGCTTTACATTGCTACCTTATCACTACTTCAGAAAATTCTTCCTTGAAGACACTTAAAGGTATTGCACGAACAAACATCTATGTGTTACAATTGATTATATGTCAGTATTTGTCCTTGATTTATTTTTTTTCCTTTCATACTCTTTGTGACCCTAAGATATGTCCACGATTAAAAGCTACCCCATTATGTTAGTAACTTATTCAGTAAGATCCAAATTACATATCCAGCTACAGCTTCCCATTAGGCAGGCTCAGGTGTATAATTCAAAAACATATCTAATTTATTATATGACAAACTGAATCATTATCCTTTGCTCTGCTTTTTTCAGTGTTTAGCATTGTAATTTGTGAAAGAATATCTTTACAGAAAGCTAGAAATCTATTCACATCCCTTTCTTTTCATCACTGTCCTGGTCAGTCAGACACAGATCCCATAAAGTTTTAATTATTGATTACATGTTTCCTGCTTCTTTACCATAGTTCTATGAGTATATTTAGCTCCTGGAAGTATTGCTGTTATCTACTGCTCTTAAATGTATGATCCATTCTGACAAAATAAACTTCAGTGTGTGTCTATTGCTAACAGGGTAGGACATTCACAGTAGAAATAATTATATAAGAAATAATGTGAGCAACTAAAAAACAAGTTCTTCTTTTGTTTTCTTTTTTTGAGGCAGGATCACGTTTTGTAATGCAGTCTGGCCTTGAGCTCACTAAGTAGCCCTAGTTGCCCTCAGAATCATAGCAATCCTCCTTCCTCAGTTTCCCAAATTCTAGAATTACAGACATGTGCTGCCACACTCAGTCTAAACACAAGTGCTAAGTAAAATATGTCTTAAGTGTTGATGTGCTTTGACAATAGCCACAAATGAGCCTTAAATAGTTTTTTTGGCTTTTTCTTCACTCTGTTATATCTATTGCATTCTCATATAACCATTGTGGCTAAGTTTAGCTATTTTAGATTTTGCTTCATGATATTTCTCAATTTAATACCAATTTTTAAAGTCAACAGTAACAAGATACACAAAATGTAAGTTTAAGAGACCAGTCAAATAGGAAAATTCCAACTACTGGCATTGTCTTAAATTATTGAAGAATAAAGGACTTCTGGAGATTAATCTCATGCTGCAGACATAAATTTTTTGATGAAGCTTAATTCCCCACCTTGAAAATCTTCCTTAAAATAAACAGTGCTATTATAACATTGCTTGAATATGTATTTCTATCCAAAAACAACAATATTCTAGACTATCCAAATAGTTTTTTCCTGCTCTTGAAACATTTGAAGTAAGAATGGTATTCACGATTAGCATTCTTTGTTGTAAATCAATAAAAATACAGTCTGTGGAAGGAATAAATAGACTTCAATCATAAGTAACTTTATTCAACACATACTGGTACATTTAGTTATTGTTGAAAATGACTTCCTGTCATAGACTGTCCTTTACTGGATACAGAGATGAAAGTTTTGACAGTTCACTCAAATAAAACACTGCCATGTGCATGTCATGGACCATATGGGGGACAATTTAATTATTTTGTTCTAGCACGTTGTATTTAAGCTCATCTTATTACCAATTTACAAGCTTCTTATAAATTTAGATACAATAAAGAGAATTTTAGATTTTATTATTCCTGAGAAATTAAGGTGTATAGATTTGGAGTTCATCCTATATCAGAGGGTAGATCTTTTTATTATATGAAGAAACCAAAGACTAGTTTTTGTAACAACTTAGCTGAGTACAGAAAATAGAAAACTCTTCTTAACAAGAGACTTCTCTATATGTAGTTAATGTAAACTGTGTCTCCATAAAATGCAGCATATCATAAAAGAGAGTACATGTTTAATTTGGAGTAAATCTATCTTTGTTTGTACTGAATTTTAATAAATTGTTTTATGAAAGAGAATACCCTGACCCCAAGGTGTTCATGTGGCATCTCTGCTCCACACTAGGTGCCTCCTGAAAAAAAAAATCAGGACCTTAAAGAATTCGTTGAAGATAACTGCATGTAATATAGCAACCATTGTGAATTTCTATCATTTTGTCTTGAGGTCATGTATCATTTTTGATGTTTATGTGTTGTTTTGATTATGTCTTCATTGTTGTTTTGTCAGTTTTT